ACACACACACACACACACACACACACACACACACACACACACACACACACACACACACACACACACACACACACACGATGTATACATCACTTCAGGGGACATTACATTGACTTACATGCATTTCCTGGAGACTTATCCTAACCTTAACCATAACCAACACATGCCTAACCCTAACCCTTACCCTTAACCTTACCATAACCCTTACCCTAAACCTAACCAAGTCTTCACCCTAAAATTAATGATTCCGAATCATTAATTTTAGGGTGAAGACTTGGTTAGGTTTAGGGTAAGGGTTATGGTAAGGTTAAGGGTAAGGGTTAGGGTTAGGCATGTGTTGGTTATGGTNACTTATTATTATTATTATTATTATTATTATTATTATTATTATTATTATTATTATCACTATTGTTAAAATTATAATTTGTTGTATTCACCAGGAAAATATTGTGGATTAATTGTCATTAATTTCTAACTAGCCCTAACCCCTATTTTAAATACATACATTTCTATTTGGACTATAACACATTTCAAAAAATCTGCACACAAGCACTTCCTTTCAAAAACCATGAGCCGAGTTACACTGCAGCTTTTAGAGCCTTCATTTGCATCAATGATTCAATTATTTAGAAAGGCCTACTGACAACTCGAACAAACATTTCCCGTCGAAAAAAATATATCTCAAAATGCCTTGGTAGTGTTATAACATAACCAAACTCGGTCAAGTATCAGGCCCGGTGTCTCTGCGAGCCTGTTTGGACACAAAGCTTCGTCAGGATGCAGGACAGCAGCAAGCGGTCCAAGACACCAGCAGCCCTCAGACCAGACTAATTGGATTAAAGGAGCGATAAACATCTCCATTGAGACTGCTGAGCCTTTCTGGAGTGCCATTTGATTTCCACCAATTGAATTAGGGCTCTATCTGGATGTACATGAGTCTGTTCTGACTGTTTCGGATCTGCCCATCAGCCATTTGTGTCGTTAACCCCTATCGTAGTTAAATCAGACTTTATTGGTTCAAACGGCCTAATTGATTGTTTTGTGAGTTTGTATTTATGCTGACAAACAGTACGCAGCAGCCTTGCCTGGATAACAACAGTTTGACATCCCTGCTGCTTATTAATGACTCAGATTTGCTTTATTTATTACAACATTTGTGTAAAATTGCTTCAGCTGCTATATTTTTTGCAAGTTCTTTGACTATTCCTATTCTTTCTGTTTATTTGAAGCTATTGATGTTTCACGGCAGACATCTATTTATTAGTCCATCATTAAAAAGTCCCTAGGAAGGAAAGACTTGGTCACAGAGAGAGGAAATACAGACGGGTATGTAAAAGAAAGAGGTTAGAGAATACAGTTTAGGACAGAAGCACACAAACACACACAGAAACACAGACTGGTTCAAAAGCTCACACACACATATACATAAGGAAGAGAGTTAGTGAACACACAAAAGTGAGAGAAAGACTGGAGCAGGAGTCAGTCTCATAGATGGCACCACCACTAGAACCCTGGAGCACCGGCCGAGTTCATCATTTCTCTATACAGGACAAACACTTTCATCTCCATACTGGCCTTTAAGAAACTCTAAAATACTGGCATTTCCTTTTGTTTGTATCCTCGTTGATATGCTGCAAAACCAAGACAATGTGAGACCATGTTAAAACAGGACTCATTAGAAGAAAGAGGACTTTTCACTGATTATACAAAATCATCACTGGACCACTCAACAGAGATTCTTCTGACATTCTAAAAAACAGTGAATGCATTGATTCACGAAATAATCATACATTATGTGTTTCTAACTATGCTACTGCTTGATTTTCTTCCTTTAAGTGAATTGATAAGGCTTGCCACAAAGTACTGTGTGGAAGCACCATTGTGTGTGTCCCATAATACCCAGTGGGCAAATGCAACCGTACATTTATAGAAGCCATAGTAACTCTGTAATGAGCATTGGAAATAATGAGTTTAAAAGATGCATTTCCCCAACTTCATGTGTTTGTGGGATCTTTTCATACTCATATTCCGAGATGACCAGCAAGAAGTCTATTTGTATTTAGGCCAGCAGGATGAGGGGGAAGAAGTAAAAGAGATGCAGGGTGTTGCTATGCATGGTGAGAGAGATGAAGAGAAGATCAAAGAGCAAACGACAAAGGGAAGATAATTATAAGCAGAGACGGCCATTTTTTCCTCAAGTCTTCTTTGACAATTGCCTAAGGCTTAACGGCGATTCAGCTTCCACTTATTTAAAGTGTTTTGAAAGCTGGATGGTCATGACTAATATAGGAACCAATGCTAGAAGATTACATGCAAAGTGGAGCAGTTTTCTTTGGTTTCCACTTGGTAAACTTCATGTCAGCTTATGTCTCAAAGACATAAAGGGTTAAAGCAGTACCAAGTACAGTTTAAATGCATTATGCAGCATGCATTCAATTATGTATGTCACTTAGCCCATTCCATTTTGATATCAAGGATATGGAGACATTGTGTCTGTATGGATTCAGAACATCCATTTCATCTGAGTCTATGGAAGATTGTACCCGTTTCAAAGTATCAATTTGATCATTTAAAATGTAAAAAGTGTGTGATTTACGAGGTAATCGTCCATGTTATAACATTTCTGTTAATACCAATTCAGACCCATTATAAAAAAAGTATACACAGCTTTTGCAGCTGCTCAACCTTTGCAAATAACACTGAAAGAAACCGTGTTTTTCTCAAAGCTCCTGCAAAGAAATAAATGCATCCCAGCCTGCGGTGCTGCAGTGCAATTTGCACATATATTAAAAATATTGCAAATATTGGAGCTAAATCTGCCCCTTTCTGTGTAAACTAACTGTATTGCATAAACTGACGAAAATCAGCGCCAAAAGCCACACAAAGACTTTGAGACGGAGCAGATATAGCACTGGCAAGCGATGCACAATCCATAGTGCTATAAGCATCTGCAATCCATTATTTGTGAATTCGCCCCTCAGTGTATTTAGCTGTTGCTGGGAAATGAAATGGAGCCTACCCAACACAAAATAAGGTTTGATGCCATGTGATATGAATGGCAAAGCAGCAAGCACACAGGTATAATGTGGACTTACAGCTAGGCTAATTAACGGAAACCATTAACACATTCTGTTTCAGCCCTGCATCACTACTGCATACATTTGAGGGAATCACAAATGGTCACTTACTTGCATGGGTGAATGTGAGGCAGGATCAACGCAACTAGTAAATCCTTTTCTCCTTATCGGAAAAGGCCAGAGTGTCTTGGTCTCCACGCGAGGATACTTCCTGTGTCTATTACATCTACTATGATAACCCCACACCTTTTCCCACACATAAGACCATCAAAATAAACATGTGTGGGGCACTCCGCACAGACATTGTTGTTTCCTGTAAAAGTATATTTCATTTTTAAAGTCATGAAATAAGATCAAGCATATTTTCTGCAGGCGACCCGTGAGTATTCGTGTCGAAGGTTACAGCATTACCTTTGTAAACCCATTGGACAGTAAGTCTTCACTATCACATTACACTTAACATTGACCGTAGTTCTGAAGGGCTGCTTGCTTTAAATTCTCCCAAATGATGCAAGGGCATGACAGCAAATCCTCACCAGTCATGCTCTGCACCCAGCAGAGTGCTCATAAACTAAGCCCTAACTGAACCCAGTGTTTGATCCTCACAGTCATGCAGATTAAGAAGGGTTTAAAGTACCTGCTTTGCCGTGGAGAGGGGTGTGGAGATTTTAGAGAGGCAGCTCACCATGACCTGTCCAGGCTTTGCATGGGCCCTTTAACTCTAGAACGCCTTGGGCACTAAAGGGTTACAGGTGCAAAGGGTGGTCCTCACCTCTCACAGGGGGCGCGGATGCGAATAGAAAGGGATGCTGGGGATATTTTTTTTTTTTAAATGTTGGGGCGCAGGGAGTTGGTGGAGGGGTTTAGAAATGGCAGGACTGTAGAAGTTGAATAAGAGAGAAAAAGCAGGAGAAATGGCCAACTGTAGAGACGTGGGCCTTTGAAAGCACAGGGAGATAGAAGCAGATGGCAAGGATATAGAAAATGCTGAGAGAGAGAGAAAGCATGTGATCGGGTATGAAAGAAAGAACAGAGAGAGGAATAGAGGCTGAATTGAGCCATGGGTGACTCAAGCAGAACAGGGGAGGCTGTACTCCAAGGTACCAGTGAGGTGGTAGAGAGGCAGGAGAGATGGAGGAGCGAGGAGGGGAGACAGGGGGAGGCAGGAGGGGGACTTACGTGAAGGCGAAGGCCACCAGAGCACCACTAACCACTATAAAGTCAAGGATGTTCCACAAGTCCCGGAAATAAGAGCCCTGGTGCAAGACCAGGCCCAAATCCACCATCTGGGGGAGAGAAAGGAGAACCTGGTCATGAGGCGTGTGAACTCCTGGGTATGGATGGCGTCGGTGTGCTATGGAGAAATGTCTAATCCTCATTTGGGCTGGGCTTCTCTTGGTATGTCGTTGATTGTTGACTCTGGACATTGCCTCACCTTAATCAGCATCTCAAATGTGAATACTCCTGTGAAGACGTAGTCAAAATAGCGTAGGACCTGCACGAAGAGAAAAAGGGAATGATTTGCTGCTGAATTCAACTACTTGTTAAGTGTGACATGGTGGAAACATGGGGACTTTTTTATTCAAGCAAAAGCCAATTTTTTTACATTGGGATGTGGTCCATGTTTTTTTAAATATCGAATGATACAATAAGAATGATTTACAGTAACATTTTAAGCTGCTAATGAAAAATATATAATTAAATTAAAATATCAAACAATAAATCCACTTAAATGTAATTTGTGACAGAGTAAGAGCATCAACATTATATTGTTAACTCTTCCTTATAGAGCCTGTACTAAATAGCCCTTGGTTTGATCCTTTTAAAATCTGGAAAAATACATTTCTTATTTCCATTTTTTAATTGTTTGACTCTTTATTTTGGTTTTATTTAACACATTATATAATGTATTTATCACTGATCCAGCTCATCACATGTAGAAGGCAGGAGTGACACTACAAAGAAAAAAAGCAACCAGCATATTAAGTAAAAAGCAAAAGCATTATGTATTGTAAACATGTATACAAATGATATTTCATACAGCAGAAGCCTTGTCTCTTCCATGTACATGGACTTTCTTACATTGTTGCGGGGGGATTCGGGCCACACGGGGTCTTCAGCAGCCAGCGCGATGCTGCTCATGGCAATGACCAGCAGGATGGTCATCTCAAAATATCGCAGGGTGCAAACGTAGTGACAGGCACGCCGAAACCTAAGAGCACACAAATAGTTTTGATGAATATCTCCAGACTAGATCTACCTATAAAAGTGTTGGATCTGTGACTTGATAGAAGATTCATTGTCCATTCACAAAAAGCTAAAGTTGTGTGGATGCCTCAAGAATGCATTCCTGTGTGTCAGATGTTGAATTATACAGTGTAGTTGTGTGTGTGTGTGTGTGTGTGTGTGTGTGTGTGTGTGTGTGTGTGTGTGTGTGTGTGTGTGTGTGTGTGTGTGTGTGTGTGTGCCTACATCATGCAGGTCCCTCCACTCTCTCACTCCAGGCCCATGTACAGATGTGTGCAGCTGTACCATGCAGGGTCCACATCCTCTACTCTGGTCCAGTGTGATGCTCACACTGACT